GTGATGGATGTGGCGATGGTAAGTAGTGGGATGGATTTTAATGTGTGTGTCCTTAGAAAGTAGCTGGAATACTTAAGGGTCACTCTAGTGCACTCTCTCCACCTGGAATGAGGGGACCATTGTCCTCTTACATCTAGACTGTCAAAATCAAACCTTATTATATATGCACGCATGGCTATGTCTGGTGATCTGAGTAACCACTTTGAAGACGATATGTAATCCAACAACTATTGTTAATTTCCTATCACCTTGTTTTGAAATTCTATATGTTTTTACTGTTTTTTGTTGTTTTGTTTTTGACATCGTTTTTTTGTTTTTCTCTTTAAAAAAAAAACTTTTAAAAGTATTTATATACTCAGTGGTTCTGTCACTCAACACATATACTTTGTGATTTTCACTCCTCAGTACTCTATTACATTCAGTTTTTTTTTTCAGTCATCCTCTTTTGGTTTTGTGAATTTTCTGCTAAAGATATTCAAAAACTGATCCCTGCAATGCTCTCTAATGCCATTTTAAGACCACTCTCCTATTTTCCCCATACGTCCGGCACTTCCACCACCACCCCACACATAATTGGATTCAGTCCTGTGTCTGCACCGATAATGCACTTAATTCTTCCAATGTGCAGGTGATCAAACTTGCTGGAGGCCACTCAGCTAATAAGGGACGTAGATGTACAGTGGTCTCCGGACAAAGAACTATTTGCCTGTATTCTCTTCCTTACCTCTCCACATTTACACCCCAGACACTGTTAGGACTCCCTACTCCCAGCTGTTTTTCAGCTGCCTAATTCTTACTGGTCCTTGAAGACTCAACTCAAGGGCCATCTCTCTTGGGATCATTCTCAGTATTCCTGACCCCTCTCCTGCATGGGTGGGGAGCCCCAGCCATGAGATTCACCACTGCTACCCCACCTTATGCCCCTCTTGACTTCCACAATGCTTTTGCTGAAAGGTTAAGTGTCATCTGACACTTCTTTCTCCTTTCTTGGGCTGTAAGCTCTTCCAGAGCTTGGTAGGGTCTGGGTCCTGTCTTAGGATTCCAAGCATTTACCACAGTGCACGGCCCATGGTAAATACATAAATACATGTTGAACGCTGGGTAAAGTAGCCTGCATTTCTAATTTGCTCAAATTCACTCTTGAATGATGTCATCTCACTCAGTAGGAGAGAGAGAGACAATTCTCATCATCAGCAATACAGTGCATCATTTTCCTAGTAATTTATGAGATCATTCCCACCAGATTTACCTTGGGACAAGCAGTTACCATTAACTGAGGAACTGCCACTTTGCAGACACAGATGTCTATTTTTCACCCACACCACTGCTTATGCTCGACACATTCCCAGGGTGACATCTTCTCCCTTCTGTACGAAGGTTAAAATTGGTAATCTTAAGTAACGTGCCTACGGTCACACTGAAGAAAGGCCTGGCTGTAAAAGCATGCACAAAATGCTCTATCATGTGCAGCCCTCCTTGCCCTGGTCAGATTCACTGGTATTTGTTAAAATTACATACACACCCAAAATAAACAGCCTAAGAACAAACCCATGTTAACCTGGATGCTGGTGTAGGGCAAGTATGGTTGACTAGGATTTATAGAGGTTCCCAGGCAATTCTAGCGTGGGTGTTATCCATGGCAAATCCTGTCGGAAACCTTACTTTTTCTTATCAGATAGATGGATGTTATAATATTTACTTTCCTCAAAGGGGTTTGAGCACCAAATTAAGATCATGTTTGCCAAATGCTATGTGAAAAAAGAAGACAGACGCCCATTTCAGAGCTCTGTACTGTAGCTGAGTTTGGCAAATAGTAGAGGAAAACCCTGAGCATCAGAACTGCCTGAACTGTCAACAGCAGATGGGGCAGCCAAGCTGGGAATCAGATTTAACAAGCCCCAAATGATTCTAAGGAACACTAACTTTTGAGAAATACTGCTTAACTGCAACACCTCTCAAATTCTGAGGTACACACGTGGTCTTGTTAAAATGCAGCTGAAGCTCAGTGGGTCTCGAAGCAAACAGCAAGCAGGCTGAGTCTGAGTTCCTCCCGAGCACCGAGGGGAAACTTGGTGTTGATTCACGGACCACATCTGAGAGTCAGGGCCTTGGAATATTTACCCCCACTGAAACAATTAAGCTTTGTTTTGCTGTGGATCAGAGATCATATCCATCCACTTCAAAGAGTATCTTCTATAAGGCCCAGTCTCGCAGTATTGGTGCAAGTCCCACCTGGATCACTCAAAGCCAAAGTGGGACTCATAGCCTATCACAGGTAAGGCATAGAGCATCCTTTTCAGACACAGGTAGCACGCCAGTGTCTCACACATGACAGAGTAATTCCTTGCTACTGCTTGAGCCCGACACACTGTAGAAAGCATTTTATATGTTATCTCTACTCCCCACCCTAACCACACAAAGTGGATATTCCTGCTCTGGAGATACGGAAAGAGTGAGTTAAGAGACTAGAGCGCTTTGGTGACCTGCTGAAAGCCCCATGGCTAGACAGGTGTTGTGGCTGGGCTCCTTAGCCTGTTCTGACGGTGATGGAAAGCCTGCGTGTTCCCTGCAGTCCTCGTGGTAGATGCAACTGTGGTATGAAATATGACTGTTTGGGAGTGAAGAGAAGTAAGAGGGGAAATGTTTCCCCTTTATTCATTGAGTTCAGGGCTCAGACAGAGTCTAGATGGGTGTGTATGGGGGGATAAGGCTGTTACTAAAATATGCTCATAGCACCCTTGACCACAGATCCCCTAAAGCTGATAATGTAGATGGAGTTAAAGGACACTAGTGACCAGTGAGCTGGTCATTAACGCCGGCTTCTATGTTCATGTTTCTGGCTGTCAATCAATCTCTGCTTTTTTTTTTTTTTTTTTTTTTTTTTCCCGGTACCGGGAATCAAACTCACCACCTTGCGCTTGCCAGGCAGGCGCTGTGCCACTGAGCTAAATCCCCACCTGGGGGTTGGCTCTCAATCTCAACCGGTAAAGAGTGAAACTTCTGCCTGATCCTGTGGCCTATCACATTGCACACCCTCTCCGGGTGTGGAAGTCTCGGGGAACTTCTGTAATCTCAGAGTTCACACCAAACACCGGTTTGCCCTGCTCTGTCCTGGCCCCGCTGCCACACCTGCCTACCTGGTAAAACGGGGCATGCCTGCATATAGCACTGTTTAGTTATTTGCAGGTTTTCTTTGAGTAACAAAATTACTTGTACTTTTCATAAGGGTGACGCGGAAAGAGTTGCACGGCACACGGATGCTAAGAGAAAGCGCACACACTCCAGGGCATCAAGGGGCCGAAGGGGGAACCGCTACACAACAAATCACCATGCAACTGCCAGCCAGCCTCGACATTCCCGATCCTTGGGGGAGAATCCAGGCTCAGTTCTTTTAACCTCTCGACTATTAAGTTTCCTAAAGAGTCTTCTTTCATAACAGTACAATAATTTACCTATGTAATACAAAACACAGAATTAAAAAGCAACGACTCCTGCCGTTAAAAAAAATCTGTCTATAATACATATTTGAACTACTAAAGATTACAGACTTTACAGACTTTGTCCCCATGGTATTCCCTACACAGGAGGCTTTAAAAATAAAAAATACAACCTGAAAAGAAACTCTTTAGCCTGAAAACTCATTGGAAAGCAACTGTCGAACTTCCGTGCGTCGTGTAAGCAGAAGGTAAGCCACGCAGTCTGGGGCGTCCTGTTTCACTCCCCACCCAGATAGGTTCACTAACTGTAAACCAGACAGCCACGCAGAAACCAGCTTGAGACTTTCCTGGAGGCCCTTTGCTGAAATGTACAGACACGAACCTGTTTGCCACGAGTCATAATTTACAAACCCTCCATGGTCATCCTCAGGCCAGCTGTACGTTCCAGGCTCCTACTGTCTTTACAGTCACCCACATCAGGTTTAGTAAGGTTCCCACTCCGGTTCATGCAC